ATTTGATGGTTGCTGTGTAGCAAACAGGAGGAAATAATCTACCCTCCTTCACCTCATGTTTTTCTCTGTCTTATCAAAACCCTTTACGCAGCTATATAATCTCTTTTCAGTTTCCTGGCTACCAACTCTTCATCACCAACAGAGCTCAAAAATATGGATTTACTCTTTTTACTTTGTTTTTAAATGAAATTTGAAGACATCCAGGGACCACTCTGCTTTCCTACAGGGCATATACTGCCAGTTTCATAATGAAAGTAAATGGAAAAATAACATTCACTTTACTGAAATTTGGTTTGTGGCAAACTGATTGGAATGTACTCTTCTGCTAGGGACCGTCAGGGGCTCAGGACCATTTTGTACTGCACTGTATCCCTTAGAGGAAAGACAGTCCCCAAACAACAATAATGGATGACTGATAATAATCTCTGAGTATAAGCTTCCCTAAAAATGATAAAAGTACTGACTGTGGATATAAGAGTATATTGCTATATACCCTTCTATCTTAAAATAATACATTTCAAAAAATATATTTAAGAATATGAAATATGTCACAGCAAACTACTTCTTTTACACCACCTTCATATCCTCATCTTTCTTTTAACGTGGTGACTTTTAGGGTAAGATATATTGAAATGTACTCCTGCGCATTTTTGCTCTATTTATGTATTTACTTTTCCCTCTGTTTATTTGTTAGCAAGGTCTGTTTAAATCTATTAGAGACAAAACCAAGATGGCTATTATGTTAGGGGAACTAGCCATTTCAAGGTTTGAGATGACTGATTTCATTTTCAGTTAGGATCTGCTTCTGGATCTCCATACAAAATGTCCTAAGAGTGCATGCGCTCACCAATTTTATTTTGCACTGTTTTCTAGTCAGATGAATAGTCATCTCATCTGTAGATAAATATCAGGTAACCGGAGATGCAGACCAACACTACTCCTTTGACCAACTGTATTGTAAGAACATTTTTCTTTTCTCATTTTTTTCTTTCCTTTTTTTTTTTTTTTTCTTTTTTGAGAGTCTCACTTTGTCACCCAGGCTGGAGAATGCAGTGGTGCGATCTCAGCTCACTACAACCTTCGCCTTCCGGGTTCAAGTGATTCTTCTGCTTCAGCCTCTTGAGTAGCTGGGATTATAGGTGCATACCACCATGCCCTGCTACTTTTTGTATTTTCAGTAGAGACAGGGTTTTGCCATGTTGGCCAAGCTGGTCTCAAACTCCTGACCTCAGGTGATCCACCTGCCTCGGCCTCCCAAAGTGCTGTGATTACAGGCATGAGCCACCGCACCTGGATGGAACATTTTTCTTACTCATTTATCTAAATGTGCAAAGGAAACTAAACATTTTTTATTTTAAAGAAGCACTTTTAAAAATATAATTAATGAGAAATACAGTTATCTTATGTCCTCTTTTGAAAGTTTGCAACATGTTAAGTCGTGGATGTAAGTAGGTAACATCCTTCCCAGTGATTTGTGGTTAAATGTCTGAGTCTTGCACCTATTCTTAGCTGAGGATGTGCAAGGGCAGTGATCTGATGTTAACTAATTAAAGCAGTTTGCAGGGAGTCTTTTCAAAAGGATTTGTAAATCTTCATTTCTTCCTGTTATTTGTATGTGTTTCATGTGCTGTTGCAGATGACTGGGATTGGGATATGTGTGGCAGGAGAAGGTTAAGATAGAAAGCAGTAGCTGTTCTGTCTGCCTCTGTCAACTAAAATTGACTGGTGAGGTGGGAGCAGGTAAGTAAGGTAATCCAAGAAAAGTCCCAAAGCACCAAGAAAAGTTCTCTAGAAAAGTATTCCTTAATAAGTGTCAGGTAAGTAAGGTAATCCAAGAAAAGTCCCAAAGCACCAAGAAAAGTTCTCTAGAAAAGTATTCCTTAATAAGTGTCCTCCTAACGGGCCCAAAACCTCAATGAAATGAGTCTCCAGGAAATTTGGTAACGTTTTCCTGTCTGCTGTTTTTCTTTCTCAAATTGTGTGAAAAAGATTTAGCATTTTTCTCTGGCTCCAAATTTTACAACTTCAATTCATGGAGAAATTATCCTAAACCTATGATTAAACTAATCCATTAAAAAATAAAAAAGAAAGCTTCCTCAGAAGCATTAGTGGATGGGCGTTATCAGTATCCCCCAGATGGGACTAACTGGACCAGAAGGATGTGAGCGCCCCATAGTCACACCAACACTGAGGCTGGATTTGACTACATGCAAATTTTCAATAAAGAAGCTTTATTTGTCGTTAACCATAAAAACAATGCCCACTAATTGATATTAATAATTAATCTTATTTTAAGCAAAATTAACCTGTGTGGATCAATAAAGAAAGGACTACATTACTAGCTTTAAAATTAGCTTTCTTAAGTCAGTCTTGCTGATGTGCTCTACAGATGGGATGTATTTTCATCCAGTAAGTAAATACTTCAAAGTAACATTGATAGGTTTTTGTAAGCTTTTATATCATCCTTTATAGAACTTCAGTGATGAGCCAGGTTTTCAAAGATTCAATACAATATCATGTATGTGTTTTTGTGACCTCTAATCAGCTTTGTTCAAATAATGAAAAACAATGATTCATATTTTTAAAATGTTCTTTGGCAGATGAATTCAGTTCTCCCAGTCTTGTATATAATTATAATCAAGCAGTGATATCAGACCATTGCTCTGCTTATGAATACATAACTTTAAGTTGTTGGTAAACCTGCACAAATACCAGAGACCTACAAGGCTCAGAAGTGAATTACTGATCTAAGAATAACAGGCTGTGCATACCCAAAATGACATTGCTGACCCAACCTCAACAAGACTTGAGGTTTAACATTTTTCCCAGACACGCTGATAGATTCTCACTGATCTGTTTATACTCTATTGCCTGTCCCCAGTGTGATCAATATCATGCAACAATAAATGGCTGACTGGAGTTATGAATGATATTTGTGACCTTGATTCAACTTATACCGAATTCTGCTATACAGTAACCAGTGAGGTTTCTATTCATTTAACATAGTTTATACTTAAGTATTATTATGCAGAACCATATGAAATTAATATTTTTGTACATCAAAACAGTCTAATGTCAGCTTTTTTCATACAGACCAACCTAACATCAAAAGAATTTCTTTCAAAGGTTGTTTTGTCATGTTCTTATAGACTTTGTAACAGCAGTCCAAAATTTTTCTGAACACTTTGTTGCTATTGCCTGCTGGCTAATTTGACCCTTTAACTTTAAATGTTTCAGAAGTGGTTTTTGTACTTCTTCTCTTTGCTTCTTGACTAGTATGCATAATTCACCAAGAAAGATCAAATATGTTGCGTTTATACCAACACACATTAAACATAACACAATTAAGCCTAAATCTTTTTTCAATAAGTTTTTAAGGAAAGGAAAGTAATATTGTTGAGGGATCTTATGATAATGATAACAAGCAAAACTGTCAGCCAGATGACTGCTGGCATGTCACTGAATAGTTTATACTACTTCTGAAATAATAACAATGTGTCCCCTGCAATGAGCCTGAGCTCTTTCTCAATGGATGTATTAACAGTGAATCATAAAAATTTTTCATCCTTCACACATATCTCTGTGCAAGGAATTGCCCAGTAAATTCCAAGAGTATAAATGAATTCCAAAATGTCAACCTAAAAAAATACATACTCACTTCTACATCATCCCTGGTAGGAAACATCAGTATTTAAAGAAAGTATTCTCTTTTTTTTTTTTAAGTAAAGATGATTAATTTATTCAATGTTTTTAGAAAAAAAAGCAAAGCTAACTAGTTAATTGTCAAACTATATATATTTTTGCCCAACTGTAGGCTAATGTATGTATTCTGAGCACATTTAAGGTAGGCTAGGTTAAGCTGTAATATTCATAGGTTAAGTGTATTAAATGCATTTTTGACATAAGGTATTTTCAAAGTTGAAAGTTGCCTTAGATTCCACTATGGCCCAGTGAGACACTGTTACTGATATTGTCATCAGTTTAAATTTTACTGACTTTTTATTGGTGCCACCCTAATTCATGTACCTGAAGGAGGTCCTGGCCTCTGACACCCTGTTTAAAATTTTTTATTTTTTTTACTTTGCCCTTTGTTTTCTGACTAGCTCAGCCTCTCACTGGCTCCTATTTCTTAAGTCACCTCCTGACTATGGTTGTGCCCTTTTCTTTGTGTACAGATGGTCCTGACATACAATTCCCATTTTTTGACTTTACAGTGGTGTGAAAATGATACTTATTCAGTGTGAATGCCTATACATCCATTCTATTTTTCATTTTCAGTAAAGCATTCAATAAATTACATGAGATATTCAACAGTTTAGTATAAAATAGGCTTTGTGTTAGATAATTTTGCCTAATTTTGGGCTAGTGTAATTGTTCTGAGCATGTTTAAGGTAAGCTAGGCTAAGCTGTAATGTTTGGTAAACTAGGTGCATTTTCAATTTATAATGAGTTTTGGGGGACATGGTCTCATCCTAAGTTGAGCATCATCATCTATACTGTAATCTCTAAGAGGTCAGGAATTGTATCTGTGTGGTTTATAGCTGAATCTTGAGTACTTTTAATGCACTGCCTGGCACACAGTAGCTGAATGGAAGCTGACATTCAATGTTGTGCATGGCTTTCTTGCAATGATTATGCAGTTGAGAAATGTCTATGGCAGAACTCCTACCCCAGAACCTGCTTTAGGGTCACCAACCTCTTTGCAGGATTTTCCTGAATTCTGGGGACAGGGGACCAGCAATAATATATCCTGAGGTTTGCAAAAATCAGAGAGTCAGTGGACTTATGTGCACCCAAGGAGATTCAAATGGGAATCAATAAGATGTTCAGCCTTTTTTTTACAGGGTGGGGGGAACCTCAAGTAATGTAAAGTGTTTTAAAAAATGATCTATTTTGCAAAAGATCTAGAAAAGAGTATGCTAATTTACATGATTTGGGCTTTTTGTTTATCTACAGTGACTCCTGAATTTTCTCAGGTTTGGGAAGTATACAACACTTACCTTCAATGGTACACTGATCAGGGACTGGAATCTTCTTTCCAATCTCCATGGCATATGCTTTCACTTTGCTGAGGTTCTTTTTTAAGTGCAAGTACAGCTTATCTTGGTATTCTACAGGACTTGCAGTTGCCTCTGGAGTTTCTTCCTGGAAGTTTTCTTTTACAGTTTCTGGCAAATTCTCTGAGTCTGCATGTATAATATTTGGGTATGAAACTGAAGAATCTCCTAGCTGTAATCTGCCAGTGTCTGTCTTAAAGAGCAGCTTGTCACTTCCTTGGCTAAGTGGGTCTATTTCTGAAAGAGAGATGCTGGCTGGTATATCTCCCCTGTTTGCATCTTCGCCATCATCTGTACTCACACCCTTTGTGAGCATAGTGTGCAAAGCCAAACTTTTTGACCTAGAGTACAAAGGGAAAGTTAAAGAAGTTGCATTACCATTCACTGACAAGGAAAATAAATAATAATAACATTGGGACAAAAAGTTACTTCCTCTGGAATGTGAAACTATTAACAGGCTTGATAAATGTAGACAACCAACAAATGACATAATAAACCAAACCTTTGAAAATCTAGGTCACCTCCAAAAACAAAGGTTTAGAAATCAATTTCATGGCAAAACTGGCTGAAAAATGGTAGACTTACATATTTTTCATCTTGGTCTACTTTTGCTTTTGCTTTTTCATCAGAAGTCAAGAGACAGTATTTTCCATATGGCATACTTATATTTTAAAATTGCTTTAAAAATTAAGCAATAGGTTTTTTTTCCTTTTGTAGTACCCATTTAAAATAGTGAGCTTCTTTGGATAATGAGAGCATTGTGGATAATATTTCATTCATGTAAGGACAGCACTTCGGGTGGCTATAAGTAAAAGATACATAAAAAAGACACCCGTAACAGTGCTAACAAAACGAATAGCTAACATGAAGTACATGCATAAAAAACAAACCAAACCAAAGTTATACCTGTTAAATCTAATGTTTTTTCTTTCTTCTTTAGAAATTTGGCCCAAACTATATCTTCTGATAGAGCTAGGGACATTGCTCTCTGCATTTATCTTGTTTTCAAAAGCCTGGATTTTAACTTGGAGTTTTTCATGGTCTTCATTTTCGGCTACCATGAGCTTGGTTTCTTCCAGTTTCTCAGGGAATTCAATTTCAGTGCTGATTTTTCTCCTAAAGGAATAGAAATCATTGCATTAGATTGTGGTCTTATATACCCTTCAGAACAGTGTTATTCTCTGTTTAACTGCCTCTCATTCAGAAGCGAAAACTTTACCTAATCATTTTTTCCACTGGTCATTTAACAAATATTTACTGAATATCTACTATAGGCATAGGTCTTTGAAATTGCTTCTATAGCTTGTTCTGCCTGAAGTTTAGAAACAGTGGTGTTTATGTGAACTTTGCATTAGAAATGCTTTTTTAAGGGTTCAAAGAATAAATATCAGTTTTTATGCTCATGTACTATATTCTTATCTAGAAACTCTTCAACTGTATGGCTTTCACATGCAATGTGTGCCAGATATTTCCCTTCCTTGCTTTCCTCCCTCCCTCCTTCCCCTTCTCCTTCCTTCCTTCCTTCCTTCCTTCCTTCCTTTCTTCTTCCTTCCTTCCTTCCTTCCTTTCGACAGAGCCTCATTCAGTCACCCGAGCTGGAGTGCAGTGGTGTGATCTCATCTTACTGCAACCTCTGCCTCCTGGTTTCCAGCAATTCCCCTGCCTCAGCCTCCTGAGCAGCTGGGACTATAGGCATGCACCACCAGGCTCAGCTAATTTTTGTATTTTTGGTAGAGACAAGGTTTCACCATATTGGCCAGGCTGGCCTTGAACTCCTGATCTCGAGATCCACCCACCTTGGCCTCCCAAAGTGTTGGGATTACAGGTGTGAGCCACCGCGTCGGCTGGGCCAGATATTTTCTAAAAAATTTACATGTGCTGATATGTTTGTACTGAAATTACAGAATAAGAACATTTCACATGGACCGTCTAAACTCATGGTTTTGTTAATTTTTACGAAAATCAGTATAACTCTTTCATCTTCCAAGCAAGAAATATCTTTCTGAATTTTAAGATGTTGGAAGAAAGAGGTTTTCTATGAATGATTTATTAATAGACCCAAATATCTTTTACAAAAGTTTATAAACCACTTTGTGGGTCATTAAAATTACTTTCTTTAAAGCAGGGACCATGTGTGGTATGCTTCTGGATTTCCTCTGAGGGCTAACAGTGCCTTAGCTGTTACCTACAAATAAGTACCTACAAATAAGCTGCAGAAATAGCTTTCTGATGTTCACTGAGGTGCTGAGTGATTATAGAAAAGTGGCATGTATGTATCTTCCCTTATCTGTTTTCTAATATTGAGCTGGCTTAATATTTTTATTAAGCTACTTTAATTTTTATTGAGCAACCACTATCCATTTTTATAACATATACTGTTATCATTAATTCTTTCCTTAAAAAAAAAGAATAAAAGGAATTATTTTTACTTACCCACTTTTAATACCCAATGTGTGGGTTGTTTCTTATACTAACTAATTCTCTAACCCTCTAGACACCAACTGTCCTGCAATTCATTTCAACCCTAACACTGACAATCTGGAATTAGCCCCAGACTCCACAGACTGCCCCCAGTTTAGATGCCAGTCAAAAGTATGAGGTCCCCAGCTTACCCACACTTTTCAACTTGGCTACAAAGGTTCCTGTACTGCTTCACCCCCGTGGTTCAATAATTCACTGGAATGACTCACAGGACTCAGGAAAACACTTTAGTTTATTATTATTGGATTTATTATAAAGGAGACAACTCAGAAACAGCCTAGTAGGAGAGATGCATAGGGCAAGGTATGGGAGAAGGGGCTCAGAGCTTCTGTGCCCTTCCTGGGTATGTTATCCTCCCAGCACCTCAATGATTTCACAAATCTGGAAACTCTTGGAATTTTAGGGGTTATTATGAAGGTTTCATTATTTAGGCAAGATTGATTAAATGATTACCATTGGTGATTAACTCAATCTTCAGCCCATCTCCCCTCCCCAGATATCGGAGGTGGGTGAGTTATAGGGTAAGATAGAGAATGGGAATGAAAGTTCCAACAGTGTAATCCTGCCTTGGTCTTTCCTGTGACCAACCCCAATCCATAAGCAATCTAGTGGTCCTGGTCACCAGTCATCTCATTAGCATATAAAAGATATCCATCAATCTGAGATTCTGAGAGTTTAGGAGCTGTATGCCATGAACTCAGAACAGAGACAAAATATTTATTTTTTATTACAGCACATAATAATCCCTAGAAATACATTCATCAGGATGGTCTAATGATTTTATTGGTTTGTCTGTGTGTATTTACTTGGCTATCTAGTACTTTTCCAAGACATTGAGGAAAGGGCCTAGACTTACAGAAAAATCTTAGCATTATTTTTCCCTAAGGGCCAAAGTGAACCTGGCATAATACCTGAATAAGAGTGAGAGGAAAAACATACTTAAAGAAAAAAAGCACTGCCAGGCATGGTGGTGCACACCTGTAATCCCAGCACTTTGGGAGGCTGAAGTGGGTGGATCACTTGAGGTCAGGAGTTCAAGATCAGCCTGCCCAACATGGTGAGATCCCATCTCTACTAAAAATACAAAAATTAGCTGGGTGTGGTGGCAAGCACCTGTAATGCCAGGAACTCGGAGGCTGAGGCAGGAGAATTGCTTGAACCAGAAGACGGAGGTTGCAGTGACCCAAGATTGCGCCATTGCACTCTAGCCTGGGTGACAAGAATAAAACTCTGTCTCAAAGAAAAAAAAAAAAGGCACTGCTTTTAAGGAAAAAGCAATGCAGAAGGGCTGGTAACTATTCTTTTTGGTTACAGTCTACCATTCTGGCACCTATATCTGCAGTGGACACTGGTGAAGGTGAAGTTGGCAGGGTTGGATACTGAGATTTTTCTGGCTGGCCCAGAGAGCAGTCCTGGCCTTGAGGGAAGATTCATGGTTATGGGCCCTCAGAATTCACCTATAGGTCCAGGCCAGGGACAGCTGTTGATGGTTCACAGTGGGAACCAGCCATCTTTTAGGTAACCAGGCAACTGTTTATTGTCTAATAAGCTGTTGTTGATACAATTTAAAACCATTTTTCTTATGTAATTTTGTAAGTTTTCTATGGCTTTACATAATTTTTATCTACTCATACCATGCACAAATGAAATATATATTGGTAGGTTGCAAGAATCAGTATGTGGGAATAGAGGCTAAGCTTGAAAATGTTTTCCTTTCTGACATATATATGATATTGGCTACACTCAAATAGACGGGAGGCTTTGACATATTTTAGCCAGAAGATTCTAAATGTTTACTCCCATTACAAATGAGACCAAGAAAATGCTATCTCTGGATGATATTTTATAAACCATGATGATTGCCAAGGTTAATTTAAAAAAATCTAATAGACTCACTCAACACAAGAAATTTTGGGGAATATTTATTTTCTATCCACATTAGTCAATGTATAGTTATGAAATTAAAGTATTTCTCTGGTTCTACAGAACCTAATCACATTTCAAAAATAAAAGATACCTTTATTTCAAATATTTCTATAGCTGGGGCCATTAAAACTTAAAAACTTTGTAAAACACAACTTGTAACCCACAATGTACATTAATTAGATATTGAGCATTATACAAATGTTTTACTGTTTTAATTTTTAATTTAAGTTTTTAGAGATAGAGGTCTTGCTATGTTGCTCAGGCTGGTCTCAAACTTCTGGACTTAAACAATTCTCCTATCTCAGCCTCCTGAGTAGCTGGGACTACAAGTGTGTGCCACTGTGCCTGACTATACACATTTTTAAACCTCAAAACATATGAGTTGTTAGAGGAACAATTTCTCATGAATTTATAATTTTTTTTCTTTCTGCATAAAGCTCTGAGTTATAACAGTACAATAATCACATTTTCTTCACAAAAAACCTTCAAATTTTATAGATTATAGAAAATGTCCTAAGATAATTTTATTGGATCAGTTTTTGATTCTTAAAAAAAAGTTCCTTACTTCTGGAGATTCTTCTTTTATTTGTTGTACTCTTTCTATCAATTTCACGATCTACAAAATGGGAATAATAACCATATTTAACTCATGGGATTGGTAGAATGATTAAATGACAGAACCAACATGAAGCAGTGTTCCTAGCACATAACAAGCAGTCATCACATCTTAGATTTTATTACTGTCAGGCTGTAGGAGGGGATGGCCTCTTGGGCCCCTTTCACTGCCTTTGTCTCCCGTGGCCAGATGTTGGTTAGAAAGCCCCATAGCCTGGATAAGTCAGAGTTTTAGTAGCTGGAAGCAGCCTTCCTTCATGTTCAAGTTGCTTTACAGCATTACCCTGAGGAGATGCTGAGCATGATACAAGTAAAGGGGCAATCCCTAGACACTCACTGACCCCAAGAGGGGCAAGTTGGGTGTCTCAAGGGTAGGGTTGTCAGTAAAAAACAGGACACCCAGCCAAGTCGGAATTTCAGATAAACAGTAAGTATTTATTTTTATTTTTTAGTAGTTCTTTTAAAAATTATATTTATTTATTTTAACTATACTTTAAGTTCTGGGGTACATGCACAGAACGTGCAGGTTTGTCACATAGGTATACACATGCAATGGTGGTTTGCTGCACCCATCAACCCATTATCTTCATTAGCTATTTCTCCTAATGCTATCCCTCCCACCACTCCCCACTTCATGACAGGCCCCGGTGTGTGATGTTCCCCTCCCTGTGTCCATGTGTTCTCAACAATAAGTATTTTTAAGTGTAGGTATGTCCTTAATGGAATATATTAAAAATATATTATACTTTACTACAATTTTATACTAAAAGTACTAAGAAATTATTTGTTCTGTAACTGAAATTCAACTGGGTATCCTGTATGGCACAATGCTATTTGGTAAAGATGAAATGTGGAGAGAAGCAGGGAGCAAGAGTAGAGGCAAAAAGAGGAATTTGCAAGGGAACAAATTTGAAGAGTGAAGAAGCAACAATAAAATGTCTGGGACAAAGAAATGCTCTCTAGATCTAAGGCTGATGAGTGTTGCTGATGAGAATTCTCACTGCAAAACTTTCTTTTCTACACAATCTCCCTTGTTTTTATGATTTAGATTTGTAGAGCACAGAAATCAGTGGACTGGGATGGTAATAAAGTCA